CACTGAAACCAATCCAAGTAGTAATACATTAACATTGACCATACCAGTGTCGTCCGCTCGTCTCCATGCAAACGGGGCTCAATCTCTGTTCCGAAGTACGACAGGGCCTCAATTGAAGGCGATCTGCACATGCTGTTTCACGCATCTCAAATACCTGCCTGATCCTGCCTAGACCTTCCTTTCGGGGCGTCCAATGGAGATCCCTTGGGCAGTGCAGGGGCTTTGTGGCCCTGGAAGGAAGGTGCTGGTGGGGTTCCAAGGTGCTAGAACCAAACTACCTGGGCATCGTCCGCCCCACCCGACCCCTGTTGAACAAGAGGCCGGTCGGGTGAAGTATCAAAAAAGTTATTTACCGCATCAAAAACAATCTATTCGATGGGACCAATTAAAAATTAACTACTTAATCAAAAAAACTATTCTGCCACGAGCTCTCTGGGATAGAGCGGGTTTCTTGTTAGTACCTAGCTAATTACAGCAATTTCGTGTCCTTAGCAGAGACACAGGTGTCGTAGCTGGCCCAATACATTAGAATAGTGCAGGTTTCATATTAGTTGCTAGTTGATTAGACTAATTCGGGAGCTGTCGTAGCTGGCAAAATACATTGGAATAGTGTAGGTGTGAGAGAATTCCTACCTATCACAATAGTTTGGTGCAGCTAGCAGAGAAACAGCAAAGAGAAAGAGAACTAGCACAGGAGGTGTATTTGGTTGGTTAGAAGTTTTTGCACCGGGGAGTTCACCTTAAAATATTGATTTCGCGGCAGGCGCGGGTGTCGGAGATGAAGTGCAGATTTCGTGGCGCGGGGGGGTTGGGGGGGAGCAGCGCCCCTCCCAGCAGCACACCAGATCCAAACGTGAGCAGTTCGTGTTTGTTTGCTTGCTTGCTTACTTTCTTGTTTGGTTTCTTCTCTGCAAAGCAAACAAGTGGAAAAAACAAAACCAAAAAGAGAAAGGAGAACAGCTGCCAAAGCAGAAAAGCAACAAAAGCAAAGAGCAGAAAGACAAAAACACAAAAAGTAGAAAAGCAACAAAAGCAAAAAAACAGCAGAAGCAGAAAAGCAGCAAAAGCAGAAAAGCAACAAAAGCAAAAAAACGCAGAAGCAGAAAAGCAACAAAAGCAAAAACACAGCAAAATCAGAATCAAAAAATACAAAAACAATCCCGAAACAAAACGCACCTCCATTAACATGGTTGATGGTTCTTTTGTTTATTGTTGTTTAATTCTATTCTTCATTTTCCTTGTGGTCCTTCCTTTGTTACGTTGTTTCTTCGGCTGCCTTGCTTCCATCCTTCCTGCCTTCCTCACTTCCTACCTTGATCCCTTCTTTCCTTCCTTCACTTCCCTTCGACCAGGGGACCAGGGATTAAGGGGACCAGGGGACCAAGGGGACCAGGGGACCAAGGGGACCAGGGGACCAAGGGGACCAAGGGGACCAGGACGACCATGTGGACCAGGAGCAAGCATACAAGAGGTCCTGTGGACCAGGAGCAAGCATACAAGAGACGGAAAGGAAATATTTTTTTGATTAGTTAATTGATTTGTTTTTGATTACATAGTTACTTTTTTTGATTCTGTAATTAATTTCTTTTTGATACACATGCCAACAAGGTCGACTTGGTTCTCGGACCGAAAGACGACCGCGCGGAAGAGTTCTTCCCAAAGCATTCCACAAAAACCAAACCAACGTCTGACAATTCCGCGCCAAACGGGGTTTCCTTCGGTTCTGGGTGCCGGCCGAGAAGCGAAGACCAGGCCTAAAGCCAGAACCCCCAAAGCGCACACAGGTTCTCAGACAGGCACCAAGTGCACCATCTTCGCTGTCTTCGCCGCCACAGCCACCTCGTAGTTGCACCACAGTCCTGGGCTGTGAAGCAAGAGAAACCCAGCAGAGGTTGAAGAACCATGAAAGACCCTATAGTACCTATAGACTATCCTATAGATACCCCACGTGACGGGTCCTATAGGGTCACCTAACCTCTGTTGGACCGCTTGAGCTTAGAAAAAAGCGGAATGAAAAGGGTCCTTGACATGGAGATGGCGAAGCCAAGGCCTTTCCTGATGTTTCACCTGTTCTCTTCAAGAATCCCAAACATCTCCGCACAAACACCGGGGGGGCCTTCTTTGAACCAGTTCATCATTGGTAACCACCCGTTGGTCGGTGCTTCAACCTTTTCGGACCGAAAGTTTGTGAAACGCATCAAAAATTACATAAAACCTCCCCAGGCATGGATCAATCAAAGTTCTTCGCTCGGCGGAATCTATGACTTAAGAGTTTACAAAAAACTAGCTGATTGGTTTGCTCATTGATACTGAAAAGTCGGGAACATGGGGAAACAAAGAAACAAGTACTCAACCTCATACAGATCAAATAAATACATAGAGCATCATGGAGCTACGACTTGGCCAAGAACCAAACATGAAACTATGGCAGGGCCAAGGGTCTCTCAAAATATGAGCTGTCCAAAATGACCAGCATGTGCTGTGAGTGAGCAACAAATGCCGGGATCCTTAGATTTTATGTGCAAAATACTTTTAAAAAAATATATGTTTCCAAGAAGGGGTTTCACCCATGGAAACTAATGATAAGTATAAGTCCAAGAAAAAATTCCCAACGGTCGAGCATGAATTCGCATATTTGGCCATGGCGCCATGGAAAGTTCACCAACAAGGAACGTGTCTTTGCAAAACAGTTGTGCCTTTTTGAACGTGCCATGTAAACATCACCACATGGCAACATGTGCGCCCGCATATGCGCAAGCATGACAGCTTTGCAACAAGCAAGAACCACGGAACCTGCTCCGGAACCCGCTCTGGAGCCTGCTAGCATGTCAGCAGGACAGCATGACTGACGTCAACATCCCTGCGTGACCCGAGTCAGCGTGCCAGCGTGACCCATGTCAGTGTGCCAGCATGACAACATGTCAGTGCGACAGCCTGAGAACACGTTGGCATGACAGCCGGCATACAAACATTTTAGCGTGTCTAAATGTTCCCATGAAAAAAGGAAATGATCTATTTATAAATATAGAAGTGTATATTGTTTTTGTTCTTAATCCAAGAACAGAGGTCGACCACGCGTCATTTTATCCAAACATCAGGATAGAATGGGTTGTAGTAGGTCAGAGGCGTTTCAAGTCGGTAAGTGTTAAAGGAAATTAACAAGATGTGCGTGTTGAAAACTTATCTGGGTCTGACAAAAAGATGACCGTGACAGAAATGCAGTCATGAAACACATTCAAAAATATTCTAACAGTACAAAACAACGTTTTGGAATTCTGTCTAAAGATTGTTTATACATATATATACGCACACCCACACAACACGCCAACTTGAGGCCGAGGGTAGGTGACGAAAGCTAGCAGGGGTGCATCCGGACTGGTGGGACATCAAGCGGAGTGAGGCAAATGCTCATGAGGTAAAACGTTGTGAACATGTAAGACACACAAACAGCAATGACACAGCCAACCTTAGAATTGAAGTCCCCGATAATTAAGGAAGCGTGGCTGGACTTTGCCACACTGTTCGATGCATCCGATGTGTTCACGAACCTGTGAGCTTGTTGAATCTGTTGCACCGTATCCCAAAACCTCCACGGAGGAGTTGAACCAGTGTGGATGCCATAAGAGGTGCCCAAGAGGTGTCCCAGAGGCAAAACAAAGCTGCTTGCATGAATTGTTTGGTTTCTTCTATCGATGTCGATGTCATGAACATGTGAGCTTGTTGAATCTGCTGTTGGATCGTCATGTATATGTAATGAAGGACTGAAGAAAAGCAACGCAGCATCATGAGCATCACGGGAAGTCACAAACCAGGCGTATCAGATACACCTGGTTTATGTATGTTTGTTTGAGCATCTTTGTCGAGTGAAGTGTCAGCCATATGCACTGAGATGCCGAAGGAAGCTCAAAGGCACGTGTATCTGATACGCCTGGTTTCTGACTTCCCGTGATGCTCATCATTGAAGCCTTGAACCCTCGCGTAAATTTCATGTTTCATGCCCCCCCTTCCAAACTCAAACCGTGGCCTACTTCACCTGCCACCTAAACATAGCACTATAGCACGTACCGGAAGCGTCCCAGGGGGGAGTTGAACCCGCGGGGGGGGGGGCCCCCTACACGTGAAGTTTTCACGTGATTCATGATTCTCGAGGCTGCGAGCCCTTGACTTGCTAAAGCAAGAGCAACTCCAGCTAGCTGATGCTAGCTTTCGTGACAAGACACCATGTCAGCATCTGCCACCACAAAGTGCAGACCACATTGACAGCCGTTTCAAACCTGAAGTTGGACCGTACCTTCAGAAAAGAATACAGACCTCTTAAAGATCTGATAAGATTTGAGGCTCCATATTCCTGCTTAGGTATGCTTTGCTTTCTTTTTCGGGCAATACTACGGCTTAGCATGTCAGCGAAAACAGGTTAGCATGACAGCATACTGGCTAGTTTGCACGGCCCAGTGGTAAAATGGTTCAATGTTGACGTGACAGTGCACTAGACGAGCGTGGAAGCAAGACGGAATGACAACATGCCAGCATGATGACATTTCAGCACTAAGGCATGACAAAGTCAGCACATCTCCAGTATTGGTGTGAAGCTTGGTCGGGAACCTGGAACTTGCGCTGAAAACTGGCTTGGAAGCTCCGGAACTTCCTTCGTAACCTCCTGGGCCCCCGAACCCTCCCGAAACTTCTCTGTGCTCCGGAACCTGCAACCTTCTCCAACAATTGCTCCACAACTTGCTCCAGAACTTACTCCGAAACCTGCTCCCGAACTTGCTCCAGAACCTGCTCACCTGCGTCTTTACTATGGCTGAAGACCACTAAGCTTCGCTGTTGGTGGAATAAACAAATCAGCAAAACAAAGCAAAGCCGGGACTCCCTTGCAGGGTCCTCGCCTTCTCCCCCAGTTCCGCTTGGTTCACACACACCCGGTCAAACCAGAAGGATTCGTGGCGCCAAGTGTGGCCTAAGAAGTACGTGCCCAAGAACACAGCAATGGGGCCACAAACGACGGAGCCATAGAGCCAGCCTTGACTGGCCTGCGACACGGCACTGAGACCTCCTGCGCGGAAGACTAGAAGTGTAATTGCCAGGCTGCAGGTCAGGCCAGAGGCTTTGATGGCAAAGTCTAAGTTCAAGTATTGGCACATTGCGAGGAACTTCATCCAAGATGGGCATGACCAAGAGTGGCTGATAAAAATGTCCACCATACCAACCGTCGGCAGCGTCGAATAAACTTCCTTGGAGTTGAAATCTCGCAGCAACGTGGAGGTGAGGGAACAAACGGAAAACCTACCCTTCCACCTACTTCCATAGAAGGTCACCGAACTCCACGTCCAAAAAAAGAACTGAATCCTTTGCTCAACATGGTCCCCGGAGTCTTCACAGACCCGTCCCTTCAATCGCTTTCAGGGACCTCGTCCTCTCAAGGAGTCGTGGTGACCGAAGACCAACTTTCACTGTAGAGGACGGGTGCCCGAAGTGCCAGGACGGGTCTCAGACGATGTTCAGCTGAGGACTGGGACTTTTGGAATGAGGGTGCAAGGGGGGTGCCGGGGCACCACTACTGCGACGTTGCACGGCGGGCTCCACTACTGCGGGGGGTCGCAACGTTGCAGCTGCGGAAGTGAGATCTGGTAGGGAGACCCCGACGGTGGCACCTCCATGAAGCATCATGAACCACGAATACCCTGACACGACCTGTCTGGGACTGGCATGTGTATTCCAGTGGATGCCATTTGCACTATAACCAGGGTTTAGGTCTATGGTTTTAGATGGCTTTAGTTTTTGGAACCATTGGTTACCAGCAACCTCGTGGTTTGCCTGGATGCCCCGTACGTACAGATGATTGGGGTGGAATAGACCTGGGGTCAATTGATTGGCATAGATTGGTTTGATTTTTTCAGGTTTTTCCCCACCCCCAAAAAGGTGACTAAGGTGACCCACTTTCCTGGGCGCTGCTCTGCTGTGGCTGGACCCTACGTGATTGCTGTGGGGCTACTAAACCCATCGAAAAGTCACCTTCCTCAAGCCCTTGCATTCCAACGACCCATTAATTTACAGTCAGTAATGGGCTTTACCAAGTGGTCGCCGAACAACCGTTGGCTTGCCAATTTGACACCACCCAAAATCCGGCTGATTTCAATCACCTCGGGACGTCCAAAAGCGCCGAGCTTCGAGGTCGAAGCTGCGTGGCCACGCCAGAGTGGACAAGACTTGCCAGGCCTTGGCAGCTTTGAAGAGCCCTTGATCTTGCACCAATGAGGCCCGCTTCATGCACAAGCTCTGCATGGCTCACAACCCGGCCGCGTCACCGCAGCCGCCGCCACCGGCGCGAGCGAGCTCGCGAGCGAGTTTCGACGGGCGCGACCGCTGCGGCTCAGCGCTGCGCCGGTGCGACGGAACGTGTCGTGGCGTTGGGAGTCCAAGAATGGTGAAGGCGCTGGTGCTCCAGTGGTTTCTTGGGGGGTGATTCTGCAAGCAAGAGGCTTTGCAGCGATCTTGGTCCAATGCCTAAAACCGCAAGAAACAGTGAGAAACCCAAAAGTATCTGCAGCACTGTAAAACCACAGTCGTGGCGGTCAAGCCTCTACTTTCAAACACAACCACGCTTTGCGGTGTCCCATGGACAATTGGTGCTGTGCCTTTAAGGAAGGCTTACAGTATCACATGGATCGAAGGCTGATTCGGCCAATGAGCATGTAGCAAAGTCCAACGAAAAGAGGGTTTACCCTCCTTCCAGCCCAAAAATACATTCCACTTCCCTGAAAGCCTCGACCAGGCGTCACGTCTCACGGGAAAAAGGTCTCACGGGTCCCTCGGTCCGTGTCCGGTCTCGGGCCCCTCGATCGTCCACGGCCCACCTCGCGGAGGCTGCGATGAACTGGGTGCGCTCGAGACTCAAGGGATCCTTGGAGAGTCGCGTTCTTCGGCCGTCAAGTCCGAGGTTCGCGGATGGACCCTCCGCTCGGGGACGGACGGGGGTGGGAATGGACGACTGGAGAAGGGCTTGGCATGGCGTGAGCATTCTCGATGCACATGAAAACACCACGGTTGTGTCTTAAGGAGATACACTGATACACTGCCTGAAAGTCATGGAAGTGGAAAACCACCTGTTTGGTATTCAGAAAATGGTCATGCAGGGGGGCCATGCCATCATATGCCATCCGCTTCTGTGATTGAGGGAGTGTAGAAGTAGATACAGTTTTCAGGATGGTTTTTAGAGGGAATTCCTTTTGGCTATCTATTCAGCACGTCTCATCTCTTCTGCCGTCGGTCTATGCCAACAGGGACCCCACATCGGTCACTCCCTTTCCTCTGCCGACCCCACCACCCGCGCGACCGAAGAAGGAAATCGTCCGCAGTCCAGAACAGCCCACACGAGGACCCAACAGCTCCCCTGACCCTAGAAAATGGCGTCTCGGCTCCCCCCGGGAAACCTTCGGGGAGCATGCATCCCTAGCACGGTGTCTCAGGTGCTCTGATGTCGCCCCAGCGACGGAGCTAAAGAAGCGATCCCTCATGGGGATGGGCCCCAGCGCCCCTTGGATCGTCGCCCTGGGCCGGCGGCGGCACGAGACTCGGCGCGGTTCAACAGGACCAGGCGCAGACGAAGGAAAGGAAAGGAAAGGAAAGGCTGCGGGGCCCCACCACACGAGGAAATGCGGCCGGTGCGGAACATGAGCTGGGTTCCGGTATCCACTATAACATAGGAAGCAAAAGGAAGGTCGGTGGTGTTCAACGGGCTGGGAGAAAAAGAGCACCTGTGGAAGCTAGCAGCAAAGGGCAAGAAGCTACAAGTAGCTCCTGGCCTTACTACTAGGAGCAAGGACGCTACTAGGAACATCCCGGGCATCGCTACGAACGGAGCGATCGGACGCTACTCCATGTGTCTCCGAGATGTTGCTCTGGATTTGTCGACCAAACTACGACCTGTTCGGGTCCATGTTGAAAAACCTTCCACAGGTGCGACCCGCGGTCCTATCTTTCACCAACCTAAGCGAAGTAGCTGGAGCAAATGACATGCAACGCTGCAACTCCTATCACCACTTGAGCCATCAAAAAACAAGGTTTCACGTCCGTACGGGCCCCCCGTCTTCGTGTGGGCAGGCCCGTACGAAATGGCGTTTCGAGCGCTTCAAAAGTCGAAAAAAAAGTTGTATAGTGGCCTTTTTTCAGCCGTGGTCGGCACGCTCTCAGGTGTTTCGCGTGTGGTTGCGATACACCCACTGATACACTCTATTCCACAGCCGTGGGTTCACCAATCCTTTGGACCGGTTCTTGCTTGGTGGCGAGATGAATTTCTTCATCCACGACCACAGCCAATCTAGCTGCTGGGTGCCAAAGATCATCTGAGTCTGCTTCGAGTTGACCATTGGCCCTCTTAGTCCATTGACTCTTCACATGCTTGACGTGTTTCATACCCAAGCGCTTCGAAGGGTACTTGGCAGCAGCGGCCGACCATGCAAGTGCTCCATCTGCACACAACAATCAAAGAACCTGCTCGAACATTCCGAAGCAAGCCTGAGGTCACTATCTCAGCACATAAAAATGTCTTTTACTTTTACTCCGAGAATCGGGTCCTCCCGCGAACCAGCGGCCCGAGATGGTGTCTGCGGCGTGCTCTTGTCTGACATCCGGCTGCCAAACTCAAAAAAACAACGCCCGACGAACACGTGACTCGACGAAACCACGAACCGACGAAAACACGAAACGACCCAAACACGAACCGACGTCATTTGACCCCCCCCCCCCCCCCCCCTGAATGATTGTTGGAACCCTGTCTGCTTCAAAAACGTGCAAATTCACGGGGGCCCGTACGGACGTGACACCAAAAACAAGGGTGTTCGGGGGTTGCCCACGTTCAAAGTCTTCTGTCTTCCAGCTGGGGACTTATGAGGCGCAGCAGGACCAGATCGTCCACCAAAGGAGAAAAAGTGAGACGTGAAGGAGATTGAAGGAGTAAGTCTGACCAGATCGTCTGTGTCCGGCAGAAAAGTCTTGCAAAGCGCCCACCCCAAGCAGAAACAACCTGCCACACAGCCATCCCAAACAGAAAGAATAGTATATATCTGTTCGTGCGCAACACCCCTTCAGGGAGGCGATGAAAACTCTGACACGACGGAAACTAGCCACGTGCAAGAGTCTGTGTCCTGTATCAGTACTGAGTCTACAGGTCCCTCCATTCAAGAGGCCACGCGTCAGGTCTCAACGATAGTGTGAACATGTTATTGCAATAAGATCAATAAGACTCGAGTCCTGGTACCCTCACAGAGCCTTGTCCCGCTAAAGCCCTGCAAAAACCTCTCTGCTGTCGAGTCCTGCCGCCCCATCTGCGGAGCCGCAGCCTCGGCAGCGTGGAGAGGAAGCAGAACTGGGCGTCGCGCCAGCAGGTCCTCTGGTTCACTTGCCTCGTTCACTGGGGAACGACACCACGGCCGGACCGATCCGGAAGACCACCCAGGAGACGGGGAAGTCGGCAGAGCGATCGGAACCCCCAAACGGTCCGGGGGGGCCCCTGGAGACGGAGGATCCCTTGACCTATATGAAGAGCACCCAGCAAGTCCCAAGACTCGCAGAGTAAAACGATGTCCTGAGCCGCCTGAGCCTCCTTGGCCATTCTGATTTTCTGGATATGCCATGGGCTGGTCCTCCAGTTTGGGCTGCAAAGGGGCCGGTGGTATGCAGTAGCTCAACTAGGGGTTCATGTACGGTTCAAGAATGGTACACACCATGACACCGATCAGATCTTTCCATGAAGACACCCATGAGACACCTTGAGCCACACTTCATCATCCAACAATCCGACCTCTTCACCCACTCCACCTCTTCTCCCAGCTTTCTGCCATCCCAGACGCACGCACTCGCACTGGTGCACCTCGGGACCACAGGTTCGCCGATGGATGGTGCCGTAGGTGGCTAACACCACCCCCAGCAGGCGGCAGAGCTTGCCCACCACCATGATGGGCAGCACGAAGAAGATCTGCTGAAAAACGCCCAGATCCTGACGACGCACCGTCCCCACAGACGTTCTTTGCCACGTTCTCGCACGCCCGCGCCCCACCACGCGGAGCCCCACCACGCGACGACCAGGTCCAGGCCACACGAACCGCGCGCGCCGGCCGGTCCGGTCGGTGGCGCTGTGGGGGTGGCGGTTGAAAGGGGCGCGGGTGGAGCTGAAGGTCGAACCCCCTCCGGTCAGGTCCGAGTTCGGTCGAAAAGGGCCCGAACGGTTCCTCACGCGCGTCTTGCGCGTGCTGCGCCAAGTGGCGGTCTTGCTCCCCAGCATGCTGAACAAGACCAATTGTCCAAAGGTCCAAACGCCACCCACCTGGGGGCCAAGGGAACTCCCCCCAGCTCGGTTTGCAGGTCGTTAGTGGGGAGGTAGGGCGTTTCCGCTTTTTGAAAGAGTTGCGCACCAGTGACACAGGGATTTTTCTCCAGGGAAGCGATCTTCCTGGACCTTCAAGGGGTGTCCCAATGCAGGTCGCTTAGTTGTGTAGGGGCTTCCATTGCTGACCCCTTTTAAAGTGCTTATCTCTGGACCTCCTTTTTCATCTGGTACCATGGATAGCGCATGGATTTTTCTCCAGACCCTGAAACCCTGCCGGGTGAAAAACACCGGCAAGTACTGCGTTGCCTGGCAACGGCTGGGTTTTTGGCAGTGCGTCTTGGAGCTGCCCATGGACTTCACCCGAGTGTTTGGCGGGACACGGGTCGACCCCATAGACCCGTCGGAGGTTCCAAACACGGACTCATCGGTCTTGACCGGTGGTGGTCGACATGCGGCAGGTACTATAGTAGGAGCAATCAGGTACGGCGACATACCCAAACCACATTACATCCCGCTTGGAAAGGTCAGACCCGAAAAATTGGCCGTGGCCCTGAAAACCCCTTCTTGATCTGAGAATCTCAACAGAATCAGAGGTAGAATCTCGCAGAACACCCATCGCGCAGCTTCTTTATAGGCTCTCCCCTAAGAACATTTCTCTATAATATGGATTCATATGGATTCACACCCAGAAAGTTTGGACCATATTGCTCCATATGCGACGTATCCCAAGGCCCCACTGTTTGCCACACAGGCCAACATCGCCCACGCGCCCTCCCAGCGCCCCCAGCGAAGCATCAACCAAAGCCCCAGGCGCTACTTGCATGACACCTTCCAAGGTGGACTCCCTTTCTTCAAACTCTTCCAGCAAGAGTTCCAGCTCTTCTGACCCCTCCTTCATGCCCTCCTGCAACGGTACGGATCGCGGCGGGACGACCGGTGAACTCTGTCCGGGTCGTTCTCGGCGTGCTCTGCGGAACCAAAAGCCACGGGACATCACGATGTCCCGATCTTGGGAAGAATAGACGGGTCCATGCCAGGTACCATGTATATACCTATTACCTGTCGGTTGTTTGCTTGGGGTTATTATTCCCTCTATCAATCAACTAACCAATAGGAAAAAGGCCATGTATGGCCTTCGGATAGACGGGGAGATCGCCCGAAGAGACGGTAGATTTGGGCACCACCGAACCATGCCCATGGCAGTCTGGCTGGCTTTGGCCAGTCATCTCTGCCAAAAAAAAACAGGCGCCTTCCTGTTTGCCTGGTCACTTCTGCCAAGCAAAAGACACTATCGCTATAGGAACCCCTTTCAATTGCCCTTTGGCCCGTTCGCACCACCGCCCTTCTCCAACCTCGCCACTGTGGGCCCTTCTCCATGGCGCGTCCCAAGCAGATCCCTTGTGAGTCCCTGGTGCATCAGAACCGGCTCCTTCAGCAGCTCCTGCCGGTACACCTCCAGCTTCTCATCGTCGTAGAGCCCCGCGAAGTAGGCGAACGAGG